GTTTTCGAGCCGCTCCGTCTGTCACTTCGTTTGTGGTTTATAGTACGTACAGACTACAGAGTTAAAACATGTTATAGCGCTATCTTGATGGTGGTCTCCGTGTTGCAATTATTTGACAACCATTATAACATGTTATAACCAACAATCAATACGAAACTAACGATTTTAAATTGGCTCACTACTTGACTAGCCTATTGGTCCCAAGCAAACGATTAACGTGCCCCATTCTAGTCAAAATTCTAGTACTACGCAATGTTTGTTTTGATTCGCTATGAAAGTTTGACAGGTAAAATGAGGGGTTATTGGTTTTTCCTATGTTTCGAGGGGTGAATCGATTAGCTTGGGACCGAAGATAGTACCAGAGCTGAGCCAAAAAGTTGAGCGCGTTTCTTCGGGACCTACTAGTCTTAGAGTTACCTCTATGATATTACGCTGTACGATGTACACATAATTTGAGAACAAATCAATCTGATGACTGTAATATGCTATCAACTTTTACCAATTATTGATGTTCAATACTTCACCATGAATGTCATTGATTGATACATATTATACTTTTTTTCTGTGTACACATTAAAGTGATGAGCGGTGGTAGAAAGGGCACTAATTAGTGAAGCATTACCTCGTTTAAAAATTTGTTTCCAGCAAAAGAAAAAAAGCACACTTAACAAACAAAACAAATCCCTTTAAAAAAAGTGAGGTTCTGTGAAACTTTCTTATGGATCCGTATTTTTGCAGAATTCAATCAATTCTATAGATCTACGGAAAATTTCGTAGAACCGACATCACTGACTTCCATCTGTTTTATTTTTATTCAACACAGCTGACGCGTTGACAGAACGAGGGAAAAGTAACTAGTGAAAAAATTTCACGAACGAGGAATGCTCCGGTTGCAAAACAATGCTTGGGCATGTGGATGATAGATGGTGCTAGTGCGCATGCAAAATACGCTTGACGATATTTTTCGAAGAATTTTCTTTTAAGAGTTATGTCTGTTTGTCTGTGCCGATGCTTTCAAAGTGAAGTGCAAACTGTTTCAGTTCGAAAAGAGTTGTTTTTATTATAACAATATATTTTTTATATTGAATTTTAAATATTATCATATTAATGATTTTCAAGATTAAGAAAAGTAGCCAAACTAAAGTTTGTATCATGTTTAAAACATAAATTTATTTATTTATTTTATAAAAAAAAAACAAAGAAAATAAAACATAGTTTATGTTACCAGCGCAGATTGTGTCCTAGCCCTATTAGGTGGCCAAAGCCGGAAGGATGCGGTGGGCAGGGCATGTTGCAAGAATGCTGGACAACAACCCTGCAAAGTTGGTGTTCGCTATAGCTTATACCGAGGGGCATGCAATAGCCTTTTTGACTGCGTTGGATTTAAAGTACAAGGTGTTTAACCAACAATCAATACGAAACTAACGATTTTAAATTGGCTCACCACTTTAGTAGCCTATTGGTCCCAAGCAAACGATTAACGTACCCTATTCTAGTTGAAATTCTATTACTACACTATGTTTGTTTTGATTCGCTATGAAAGTTTGACAGATAACATCAGGGGTGTGTGGATTCATGCAGAACATGCAGGGGTGAGTGAAATAGCTTGGGACTGCTTGGGACCGTTGTTCTGGTACTGAGTGAGCCAAAAATTATAATGATTTTCTTCGGGACCCAGTGGTCTTAGAGTTACCTCTATGGTTTAACTATGTAATTAAGTAATTAAAAATGAAAATTAAGTATTTCATGTCATTAAATTTAATTTCGCGTAATCAAAGCAGTGCCAGTGTAATTACTGTAATTAAAACACGTACCTCAATTTGATTACGTAATTAATGTAATTAAAAATTAATTTTCTGTAATTAATGTAATTAAAGTTACACAAATGTAATTAAAAACGTACCCAAATCCTTATTCTTGAACTATTTAAAAAATGAAGAAAACCCTTAACACATACTCGAATGAATTTATTTATTCAAAAACTCTTCTTACACCCTGAAATACGCATATTAATGTTTTACTAGACTACAAACATGACAAATTCTGCGAATACTTATACTAAATTTCTTGGAGCACCATGCTAGAGTTGGAAACTGAAATAATCCACTCGCGACAATCGATTTCACTTTCGTTTTGTACGTTCAACATAATGTTGTATCTAGTGCACTGTATTCGTTGAATAATGCGCTTTAATGCACAACTAGAATAAAATCGATTGTCACAAGTGGGTTATATCGGTTTACAACTCTAGCGACAATATACAGTGAAAAGGAAGTGATATTCATAATGAGGGCCGTGATTGCCATACAAATGAAATGGGAATCTCTTAGTTGTGACGACAAGTCTTGAAATTTTACATTTCCTTAAATTCAAGCAATTCCTCGAGCAAATTTCCTCTTGATCAAAAAATGTTCGAATTTTAAGCCATGTTCGCAGCACAGTTCGACAGATGATGATATTAGCTTGTGCCTGAATTAACAGATTCAATGGAAGATGTAAATGCATTTGCATTAATTTTCTGATGTTACGCGTGAATTCTTCGATTATTTCAATATTTCTTTAAAAGTTAATATTATTATACTAATAATAATTAACAGATTTAAGGCAGGGTTCATTAACAAAAAAATAATAATCAGGTTTTGGTTGCAGACACTAAGATGATTCAAACCAATTGTGTGCTTTTATTTGTATTATCGCCATGATATGATCACATCCGTATTCAGAATTGACGCGATAGCATTTATGAAATTCGCCTCCCCATTGTTCGTCTTTCCATGGGTCAACTAAACAATACTATGGGCAGAACTCCAAACCGATAGGAAACGATGAGTCCCATGTGCACAGGACACGAAATGATCGTTACCGATCAACTTGACACACTCAAGTTATCCGTGCTGGGAAGACAATTGCATACCAGCTTTTTTTCCCGGAAGTAGCTCAGCGTGTGAATGTCCAAAGTATTCACCAGCTCCAGTGTCCGTTCAGCTGTCTGGGATAGCAAATTTGAACTCTTAATATGGTCATTACCGACGGAGTTTCGTAAAATAATGAAGTTTGATATGTCACATGAGGGGTTCCGGTTCTTATTGGGAGTTGGATATTTAACCGGGGGGGGGGACAATTACATGGGACTGTGGACTGTCTAAGACCATTATTAGCCGTGCAGAATCATGAAGTTTGATATGTCGCACGAAGGATTTTGGTTCTTGTCGATAATTGAAAATATACCCGGGAACACTGGAACATGCCAGGGAGGGCCAATGGGATCGTGGGCTCTCAAAAAGACCATTACTGGCCGACTTCAGCAGAATCATAAAGTTTGATATGTCGCATGACGTGTTTTGGTTCTTGTGGAGAATCGGTCACTTGCCCGGGGACACAGGAACATGCCCGAGAGGGCTAGTGTGACCGTCGAGTCTCGTTAAGGCCATTACCAGCCAAAATTTGGAAAATCATGAATTTTGATATGTCGCACGATGGGTTTCGTTCTTGTTGAGAATTGGCCACTTCCCCGGGGGCACCGGAACATTCCCGGAAGGGCTAGTGTGACCATGGACTTTCAATAAGGCCATTACTGGCCAAGATTTGTAAAATCATGTTGTTTGATATGTCGCATGATGGGTTTTGGTTCTTGTTGAGAATTGGCCACTTCCACGGGGCACCGGAACATTTTCGGGATGCCCAATGTGATTGTGAACCATCGAAATAGCTGCCACTGGTCCAATTACATCGTTTGAGAGAAAAAAAAAACATGATGTTCATCGTGTGTATACTTATTACAGAACAATAAAGCCGAATGCCGACCAAAAAGCGACCCCACAGGGAACCGAAATAACTCCGGAACCATGAATTGATCAAAATATTTTCAGATGTATTCAGAAACTTCAATAGATTCAAGACAAAATTCAATTATTTGGAAAGACAAATATTGAGAAATTATGTTTTTATAGCTAATTGAATTTTGAAATCTATGCAAATTAAGACGTTAGGCACGCAAAGGTTAACATAATTTTCTATTGTAATTCTGTTTTCGTTCGCATCCTCCAAATTAAATTCGTTATTTCTTAGGTTGAACCAGGTAGCACACACAAACATTCCTTTCATTGTCGCATACTCCGGTGCTTTTACAGGGGCGTGATCCAGGATATAGTTCATTACCCTGCCAACACCTCGGCAGTATTGAAATCCGACTACATTTCCAATCACGAACCGATCGTTGTATGTGAATTGGCACCAATCACCAACTAACATTATCCTTAACGTAGCAAAAGGGCCTGTGAAATTTTTGTTTCACGGGCCAATTACGAAAGGGTCTAACGGTACGCTGGGGGAAATTTAAGTACATTTCTCGTTGTAGATTAATCGAGTTAATGTACTTAATTTATACGACTTGTAATTAAAACTGAAATTTGTACTTAAAAGTAATTAAATCAAAAAATTTCCGACGATCGTAATTGAAGTAATTAATCATGTAGTTAACTGTAATTATTGTACTTAAAAAAGGCTTGCGTAGGAGTTAAAGGTTATTGCGTGCCCCTCGGCTTATACTGATCCGGTTGGCACAAGAAGGCGTGGAGCGCAGAGAGCACGATGGGCGGACCAGGTAGAGGCATGATCTAGCGAGCATTGGGCATGACCGAGGATGGAGAGCGGCAGCCGCAAACCGAGTATTGTGGCGTACTATTGTTGATTATGTCTTATCTTAAATGTGATGTTGTACAAATAAATGTATGCATGTATGTATGTAAGACCTTGTAAGACCACTCCCGATGGCAATTTGCCAGTTGTGCAATAAAATGTACCTTATTTTGAGGTTTGAAAATCGTCGTCATGATGTAAACAAATGAATTGGATGACATTTCCTCTCAAAATCGGCTAGCGCACTATACATTGATGGTGCATGAAAAGAACCTATACAGGCCTTAACGCGCAATAAATCGCTCTAAGTAACCATCAACTGATGAGCGACTACATAATCCGACAAATCGAAAAATGACGAGGGGTATGGTAACATCTCAAATATTTTCCCACTGGCACTATCAGTCAATGTTATCGGAAGCACTGCCAGCCTTCAGAGTGGCGACGAGGACAAACGTCAAACAAATCGCTTCAACCAGAATGTTTATTTACATTTTCTCAGTAACCTTCCTACGCCTTTCCTTCACGCTATTCGATTTACATTGCCGGTTTTCGTTCAATTGTGAACTATTTTTTCGGAAATTGAAGTGTATTTCTAGTGCTCTTTACTGTAAACCAATCGAGTTCATTAGTGCCGTTTCCAATATCGGTTAAATATCACAATAAGTTCGATTGCGCAAATACGGACAACGTAAACACACCTGTTGAGCCTCATTCACTGCTAACCAAGATCAAGGTCAAAGAAAAAGCAAAGCGGTAAGTTGTAATAGATCTTTGTATTTATTAATAATCTCATCCTCTATGGTAAATTAAATATGTCGAACTTAAAAGCTAGACAGCGCTGTCATCTAGAAGGTTCTTTCGGGCCCGAAAAAAGTGTTGAATTAGGTAATAAAGCCTTTCATTTTCACTGCCTGTTCCGATACCGGTATTCGAATCGATTAATCGATGTTTTGGTTTTGCTGGTTTGCTTTATACACGCGTAAATAAAGAAAAATATGTTCTAGTTGTGACAAATATACATACAATTACAGCACAGTTTTAGTTTAAAATCCCTCGATGATAGCAATTATTAATGTTATCAGTTGCTATACTAATTAGCAATATTTATCATTTCATCTGGAGATTGACATTTACATTATTAGCCACAGTTTTGTTTGCACAAGTTAGCACCAGACATCGTCCTAACGCTGCCGGTTGCTATCATGGTTCTATTTTAAAATTAAGCCAAGCGGATTTTCGGGGGTCCTTAGAATCTAATAGCGTAGTCTGTGAACGCATACCGGGACAGTGTGCCCCAGTTGGTGAATTCCGCTTTGTCGATCTTGCAGCCAGGTGAGCCGGTTTTCGATAGCCAGTCGACCCTAGGAAGAAGAAAGCATATGTAAAGTTAATAGTTTGAACACTATTTTGTTTTAACAACAATTACGCATCGGAAACATGTCAACTTTGCTTGTGATACTAATATTTATTTTCGGATGGATGAATTAGGCCAAAACTAATGTATGTGGCTTGGTCAGAGCTTCACATATTTAGTAAAGAAGAGTCAATTTTACAAAGAAGGGTGTATGTTGACGGTCGTGTTGTGTATTATATGAAAATTGTCACCTTATTTAAAATGGTTACGTCCTAAGTAACATTGATCAATTATATTAATCGAATTTCTCTTTTGTTAATAACTTTGCTTCAAACCCAGTTCTTGCCGTTCTTGCCGTATTAGCTGCTAACTTCTTTTATCGAACTGTGTGTAGCTGTAAATGTCTATAAATGGCCATAGAGATGCCAAGAGAAAATTGACGGAGAAAATCTGTCATTGTTACATAGGCTGTGTTCCATTTGGTGAATTTTCGCTTAAATTTGCACTTCGAAAATAAATTATACTTTTCAAAAATCCCTCTCTTGTTGATCCGATTTTGAAAAGGTGTTTGTCAAAACTGATTCCTGTACGGTCAGAAATAAGTATGCTCGAATAGCAGGTTTATTTGAAAATGTTCCATCTGTCAAATTTAAGTGAAAATTCACCAAATGGAACACACCCTTACCTCATCCATTGTTCTACTTGATTTGTCATAATAATTTCACATGAACTCTATATGATTTGTTATAAAGATTTAATTTGACACATAATTTTCATGTCATTTTGTAGCTAGAATTGCAGTTTAATGTGATATTATAGCGAACCCCACACTTATCAATGTATTGACGCGGAGGGAAATTATTGACTATAATATTGATGATATAAATACATAAAAATATTGTCAATATTTAATGATTTAAAAATCGAGATGAATGTCTATGGGATCGATAAAAATATCGTTGTGGTCAGAAAACGAAGCTCTTTCAGATGATGTATAAAAACTCGTGAAATTTTTTTATAGCGATAACGAACGCATGTTTCATGCAAAAAGGACAAAAACTTCATTGCTGGTCACATAGTAAGATTTTGTAGACCATGATTTAGGCTTGAAGAATCCTATAAAACCTCTATAAAGTTTGCAACGTTGTGCCTAGTCTGATAATAATGTAAAAAAATGGGGTCGTAACAAGTTAACACCCTGTTCTGGTTCAATCAGGGGCCTGTAACCTAATGAATTCTCCAAGAACTTGTAACTTGTAAAATGTCTTTCAAATGGGAATTTCAAGATCAAGTCTTTGTAGTTTCATTATGATACATGCCTCAGATAACATGTCTATATTTTGAAGACTTTTGGAATTCTGTGTAGATATTTTTCTCCCGCGAATTCATCCAAGTTACATATGTTGCTACACTCTCTTAATTCCAACAAGATGTCTGACGATCTATGAAAGATACCTATTCAAACATACGGGAAGATACTTAACATTTTGTACGAATATTCCTGGAAATCTGGGTAGGTCCCTGAGATTAAACGGAATTTTCCTAAAATTCCAAAAAGTTCAGATCCTTCCAAGAAGTATAGAAAAAGTAAGATCTCTGAAAAACTGATACGAAGTTTCCTAAAGTCCTAAGAAGTTATTTGAACTATTCCAAAAATTCCTGAGCTTTCATGAAGTTTACTGAACTTCTGATCAGTATGACAAACTTCTACGAAGTTAAATTAACTTTAATGAAATTCCCTGCACTTTTTTGATGTTATATGAAGTTTCTCGAACTGCTACTAGATTCTCTGCACTACTACAAAATCACTATGCTTTTAAATTTGTATTAATTATCTTTCCAGAATTTCTAACATCTTTTCTGAATTTCTATCATGTTCAAAGTTCTACGACGTCCCTAAAGTTTTGAGAAATTCTCTAAAGTTATATAAGTCTTCAACGAAGTTCCTTGATATTTTTTTGCAAAATTCACTGCTCAAGAAATTATATGATTATCTCTGAACGGTTATTTTTGACAGCCGATGATTTTTTTTTGCTCTTTTGTTCTTCAAATGAGAGCTGGATGTATTCACGTTTTTGTACAGTAACTGAAACACAACACAAGTTTGAGGAAGGTACGAATCGGGTTGATCATCTCTCTTTACCAAACACTGGCAAAAAGAGATGATCGCCGGTTTGCTAATGTACCTACGACGAATGGAAACAGTTCTATCGATTGTACCGCACAACTATGTAACTTCACGCAGAAGTAATACAAACAAAATAATTAAAGTATTATAATTGACCAATAGTGTATGATTTGAGTAGATCAACATAATTTGTTGAGCTACAATGTTTCGTAACGTTACAACGTTTTGCACTTCTCAATTACACTACTCAAAAACTGCTCACGAATACGTTTTGAGCTACTTTTGATCCAAACACTTTCCACATCTGCAATAATATTTAAGGGTTACTCTTAATTTTTTCAGTTACGGTACAAAAACTGGAAAAATCAGGTAAAAACCGATGTAACGTCACGTAGAATGTGTCCGAAGGTTATGTTCAAAGAACAGTTTATGAGGAAAAGAATGGATAATTTTGTGATTTTTCATTTAACTTTAACCCTTTGTCTGTACCTCTAAAATAAAGCTAAGTTCATTGCAAAAATCCTTCCAAACGGGTAATAAATAATGTTTACAATCTTTTGCTGCCAAGTGCTCTAACAATTTCAGGCGAAAGAATTGTCAAAAACTGTTTCGAAAAGCTTTTACAAAGCTCCAATCTTCTTTAGTGAGACTATCGTCACATCTTTTTATTCGGCAACCTTTCTATTTGAGCTGCGTGTTAAACAGCTGTGCTTTCATCGGCAACTCGAAATCAGCAGCATTTTGTAGTGCGTGTGTTTCATTTCAAGAAAACCCTGTTAGATTGCTTTTTCTCAGGGCTAGAAATATAATCAAATTCAAACTAAAAGTTTAAATAATCGTTTGAATGCATTCAGCGAAGTGTTTTCGTAAGCAAATCCAGTGAAATTAGCGTTTCAATTTGGGGTGCCGAAAATAGACTGTCATGCCGAAGCCGTCATTTCCCCTATCAAGAAGGCTTTAGCATGCAAAAATGTCAGAGGAAAAAAACGTTTTGATGAATAATCAAGATTGCATTGACTCCAAGATAAAGACAAAGGGTTAAATGTGAATTATGCCTATTGTCAATTTAGTCTTGCGTCCATTGTGCCTATCGTAAATTATGTCTATCGCATGTATTGTCTATCGTCTTGCTCTCATTTTATGCAATGCAGATCCTACAGAATCAGTAGGATTTATTCCCTCTAACTTTTGCAGCTTCATTGCCCACAAACGCTACTAGAAACCTGTGTTCCTAGTCCTTTCACAGATTCGTTAAATCGTATGCACGGTCATTTCTATGATATAAATACGACCTCACGAGGTCATTTTTCCTCTATGTCAATATCAATATCGTTAGATAGAGCTCGTTGAAACTTTTGCCTCGAAAGATTGTGCGCTCGGTTTCGAAAACGTGATTAATTTCGACCACGATGCCAACAACCTATTAAATTAATACCGTAAAACGGGGGGACGTTGATCACTTTTTATCGATAAATCTGAATATTTTTCCAACCATATGTTTTGCACACAGACAAATACCTCTCAAACCATTACTAGCAAATGCTTTTCTAATGTACGAATTTAGTTTTGGTTTATTTTTTAGAATTAAAATGCACATTATCAACTCTGGGTCGAAGTTGATAATGCAGGTTTTTCATACAATGCAATATTCAGAGGTTAGCATTTGTACTTCATTGTGTTCATTGAAGAAGAAACTGGTGTTAACATTTGAACAAAAATCGTAGTTTACACACAAACTGCATATTCTGTTGTAAAATAGTTAAAAAAATGTGCCTAAATGTAGGCAATTAACATCAGTTTTTCACATAAAATCATTTTTTATGATAGGGGAAATGGCTCTAATGTTGGCCTATGGATCTAAGATTGACGAGTGCACGGATGGATTTGAGTTCACTCACTCGACAAAAAGTGACACAACAGCGGGGCCCTGTTTACTAAAAATGAACACATGAATAATGCTCGCGTAACATTTGAAAAGGGCCTATCAACTTTTGTAAATAATTTGCTAGGTCCTTTTCACGAGAACCGAAGTACGCCCACGCAAACCAAGAGCACTATAGGGAAAGGGAGAATTTCCTCTGCCCGATGGTGTTGTTAGTTTACGTGAGCGTATTCGGTTCGTGCGAAAAAGGCTCAACAAGTTTTGTGTACATAAGTTGATAGACCCGTTTCAAATGTTACGTGAGTATTATTCATGTGTTCATTTTTAGTAAACAGGGCCCCGCTGTTGTGTCACTTTTTGTCGAGTGAGTGAACTCAAATCTATTCGTGCACTCGTCAATTGGGCCCATCGCTAAAAATCTGCTATTTATTAATTTTATCTAGATGAACGCGTCACGGTACTAATGGATATTTTTGGTTGTATTGAAAATTTAGTCGATTGCTGAATTTATGTATGGGCCCAAATTAGGGACACTTAGGCCGACATTACATACATATTAGGGTGTCCCAAAATTGCACTATGCCTGGAAATCTGGGGGCTCACCCTCCAAATGATAGCTAAGGGTGTTACAAACAAACTTTTGTATGGCGGCAACTCTGGAAAATATTGTTTAGAGGTCGCCCCGACGAGATTGTTGAAAAAAGTTTATTTTTCATAGCTATTATCCAATAAATATTTTTAGTTCTTAAAATTTCAGTGAAACCTCACCCTTTTATGTTTTTTGCAGACTCCCAGGATCAAAACTATAAGAGAAAAAATTGCTACGGCATGTTCTGTGTCCAATTTGTTAGTTACAATTTTTCAAATCCTCTAAAATGATGTTTTTTGTTGTACATCACTGCATTCAATCATCAAAAGTGGGTTTTAAACATAGCGTTATTATCAATCAAATGCAACAGAAATATGTCCGGCTTGATTCCAAATCTCCACAACTTTG